CTAAAACTTCCATGAAATGTAAAATTCTATTAGTTCTCTAAAATCTTTCATTGCGAATATATTTACGGTATGACCCTGTATTTTTATTTTTATTTTAAAAATAGGTATCCCTACATCATCACGCCTGTGTCTAAAATAAAAGAAAAGATGTTAACTAAATGTTTATTCATGACTATTATGACACCATGGCAGATGTTCATAGTACCGCCCCGTGAGTGAAGACGGGCCTGTTTGAATGTAGATAAAGCGGCCCATTATCACTTCCAGCTACCAACGAGTAATGCTTCTGGGTACAGTCACTGATCCTAAAGGTTTCTACAAGAACCCATTGATCAGGAGTAAAAAGAAGATTAAAGACATAAAAAGGTACTATCTTTGAGGACCACAGCCCCTACTTTGGTCTTGTTTGCACTGAACTATTAGGACTGAACTATCGCTGTTTAAGGACACCAGCAGCATCTTTAAGGTACTACTTTATATGATCTACACAGATTATGGGACAAACTTCGTATTGTGATTAAAAGAAAAACTTTTTCTTAAAAATATTTTCAGATTTTTTCTGACAGCCACCATGCAAAGATGACTGATTGCTATTGTTCTCAAAATGCTGACGGTAATGCGCATGAAAGGCCTGAGTACGAGTGCAACCCTGTTTTTGATTGTCAATAAGGTCTATTGTGGACAACATGTTTAAACAGCATTATAGGGACCATATGTTTTTTCTTCTGGAGAAGATCATTAATGATGCGTGTAATTCTAAACATGATTGTACAGGAGATGGCAAACGTGTGAAAAATCTCAAGAGAGAAATGGACGTTGTGAGAGGGGGCCTTAAACTCATGTGCCGATACGATAAACCAATTGACACACCTGTGTGTTCGTAGCAATGGTGCTGTCTGTGCAACCAATACAAAAATTCTGGAGGTGCTGACTGAATTGAGTGATGAGCTGTGGGTAACGCAGGTTCTATGTATGTCTACATATATAACAGATATTTGTGTGTCGCTGGTTTCGCAAAACAAAATAACAAATATTTCTGAGATTGTGGAAGTTATGACCAAGCACATACTAGAACATGACAGAATGCTTTTAGTAGCATTTCTTTGTTGGTTAGATATTTAGTAATGTCGTTATTGTTCTGGTGTACCCTGTTTTTTTTTCAATGTATGACTGTATATATGTATTTTTTTCTTATTTAATTTGTCTTTATTATTGTAATGCAATCCATGTTTGTTCATTATGTACTACTCTATTTCAGTGTATATTTACTTGAAATAAAAGTTTATCAACTCAAGTGTCTATGCCTTTCCTGTAAAAAAAAAAAAAAAAAAAAGTTATAAATTGAGCTAGGTGCAAAACATGTTGGTGTGAAACAAATCATAGAAACATTGTCAAAACTGATTAAAACCCTGTATTTATGCCAAATGTATAATTAAATATTTAGAAAATTAGAATGTTGCAAAGTGTGTCAAGGATTGGTTACTTGTCTAAAGCATAAAGGTATAAACTGTACATCATTTATTAGCGTTGGTTAACGTTTAAGACAATCCAATAACACACACTTCTCATGTATAACGGTTTTGTAGTCAGTTTAGAAAGACAACCTAAAATTTTTTGCCCAATTTAGTTTTAAAGATGCACTGATGTACAATTTCATAATTTCTCTTTCATTTGAAAAAGAGAATGAACGAAAGATATACATTATATTATTTGTTGTCTCTGGTTTAAAACCAAAACATTTACAACTCAAACTTTCATGACAGTTCAAAAGAAAACATTTCTAATACACAGTACATTAGATACTGTTGCAAAAAGATGTTAAAGCAGATTTAGTGGCAAATATTCATTTAGTTTTGTAGACAGATCGCACTATTGACGGATCACAGTATTATGTTTTTCTCTTCTTTTCATTCTTTTATAACTTGTTTTTACACATTTGATCTGTTTTTATCATTTTTAATATTTTTTATTATTTGTTTTTGTTTTCCTAAACATGTCTCTTTTGTTCCTGTTTATGTAAAGCACTTTGAATTGCCACTATGTATAACATGTGTTATAGAAATAAACTTGCCTTGTCCTGCCTTGCCTTGCCTTTGTAGATTCATAGTTCTCGTGAAAAAAATATTGTGAAGAATTAGACAACAAAAGATAATTGGAAGTAGAAATGGTTATTGTGACTTTTACTGTATGCATCGTAACAGATGCTATGAGAGTTGTGTAAAATTAGACTTTTAACACATAAGCAAAAAAAAAGTTAGCAAAGACATTTTGTGTTTAAAAACTACAGCACTGGTTACTTGAATTAGGTGAAATATTTTGGTGAGATACCCATGGTCGTAAAAACATAATTTAATGTTTCAAAAACATTCTGTATCAGAAGGTAGATAAAATAAACTTATTCATGCATTAAAGTTTACTGCAAAGTATTCTTAAAATAAAATGTGTTTACTCTTTGATATTGTTGTGCTTTGTTGACAGTATTGAGTAAAGCATTCAACTATGACACAAATAACTGGGGCTAAGTGTTGTTATTAATGTTACTTGGTACACTTTAGGTTAAAAAAAATATATGTATATTCCCAAATCATGAGTTGAGCCCGGGCCGTCTGGATGAAACCCAGAAATTCTAACCATTACACCATATTGGTGTAACCAATGTATTTCAAAACATTACTTTTTTTCTTTCCCCCAAATGAAACATCGTTGTTCCTAAAAACCCAGAAGAATGGAAACAACGTTAGGTGACTTTTGAAAACTGACAGTATTAAAAACATGTATGCTTTGTAACATACAACACAGTTGCACAAAATTACAGATTTTTAACACATGCATAAAACATTTTGTGTTGAAAAACTGCTACACAGTACAAAACCAAAAGCTTGAATTAGGTCAATGCTATTGGTTTGTAAAAATAAAGCCCCAGTCATGCAGTAAGTTTAATGAATAGTGTTTTAAACATCACTTTTCCAAGTGAAATGCACAGATAAAGTTTTTATATTCAGAGTGAAAAACATTATACTAGATTTTAGACTGATAATTTAAAAATGTGTTTGCCAATAAAAAACATTGTTTAAAGAAACATAAACACTCCCAACAATTGTGTGTAGTGACAATAATCTTGATTAAGTCTATTGGTATAAGAAAAGCATCATTTACCCTGTAAAAAAGTAATCAGTCTACTTTCAAGAACTACTTGTAAACTTGACTAATTTTGACAAATTTGTAAACTTACTAGATTTGACACTATTGTATGAACATGTAAATGGTGGATTCAGTAGTTAAACTAGAAAAGTTTACTATAAAACATTAAGTAGATTTAACTAAGGGCTGGAGCTGTACTGTTTTTAGATAAACTGAGACAATTTTTCTTCTTAAAATAAATATCAGTGTTTTTCCATTATTCTGAATAATATACATATTTCTCTTTATATGATCAAGTATTTGCAATGAATAAAAACAGTTTGAATTTAAAATTCAGTAACTAAGTTGTCTAGTAATGCAATTACTACAATTTATTGTAATAAAATTACATTTCATTTAACTTTTGAAACAGAAATAACAATAATGTCTAAAGACTGAAAAGTCCTTTTTAGTAATATTTTATGTTGATTTTTTAAACCAACACCAGTGATGAACAGTGCTCAAAATATTAGGCTTTGGATTAACTGTGTTACAATGTGTACCATAAATTACAGGTCATGCATGTAAATAAATTGAAAACATGTTAGTCAAAGAAAAAACGTTCATTTTAAATTGTTTTTCATAATAAAAGTTTTAGTTAATTATAAAGACAACTTGAATTTACATCTGTGTTTTTCAACCAACAGTTTAGATCATTACATTTTAGATAATGTTGTTTTAAAAGGTGTGACAATTTATTGTTAATACAGATTAAGATTTGTTATTTACTGGATTAATATTGTAAACAAATTTAAATTTAATAGTCCAACAAAGATACATCAAAATGTTTGTGTGTCTTTAAATATGTATTAATGTAGTAATAATGTAAAAAACAACATAACCTATTAACGAGCATATTAATAAATACTGTGCCATGTATTCAAACATACAAAGCCAGACCCAAGTTCGCTCGAGCGCGCGCACACGTACACACACACACACACACACACACATACATATGCATAGAGTTGACTGCATGTGGATATATAGATATCAGCACACTTTCTAATCACCTAACAACATATAGTATTTAGTGGGAGACACCCACCACATACAATCAGATATACATATTCTACATCTGATATAAATCTATCTTTCACAAGCAGTTGACGGGGTGTTATCCAAAGTTTTCCTTATCATCACTCACACGCTCAGGCCCAGACTGACACACAGAGGAAACAAAATAATTTTTTTTTTATGTTAATAGTTTATTAATTATAATATAATATAATATAATATAATATAATATAATATAATATAATATAATATAATATAATATAATATAATATAATATAATATAATAATTTAATGTAATATAATATAGTATAATAGAATAATAATGATATATAATATAATATAATTAAATTTAATATAAATATAAATATTATAATAATATAATATAATAATATTATATAATATGATATAATTACAATATAAGTTAATAAAATAATGATTTAATATAACTTAATATGATATAATATAATACAATACATAATTTTATTTAATAAAATATTAATTTTATATAACTTAATGTAATATAATAAATATAATTTGTAACACTAATTAAAAATATTAAATAATGGTTAAATAACAGAAATTGAATTACTGATATTATTATAATAATAATTTAATTAGGCTGATAAAAATCTAATTACCGGAATTATTATTTAATAATAAACCGATAAGAATCTAATTACCGGAATTATTATTTTATATTAAACCGATAAGAATCTAATTACCGGAACTATAAAGTTTATATCAAAGGGGCGGGGCTTAGACCGGAAGTCCCGCCTTAGGGGGCGGGGCTACAATCCATCAAACTTTTTGACAGGTGCCGCATCATAATAACTACTGAAGAGGTTAGACATGCTGCATCTTCTAATCGCTTTAGCTTTGCTCAGAGGAGGTTTGTAATTGACATTTAACTTAAATGGCTACTAAAACTGCTGGAGATGGTGAAAGCTTTAATACATTATGGATTTGTTTTGTATTCCACAGCTTATCCTTTGGAAATTGTGGCACGAGGAGTAACGGCTGTTGTGTTTGGTCAGGATGCTTCTCTCTCTTGTATCCTGCCGTTCGCGTCCGGCGTCAAACAGGTGACATGGCAGCGGGTGCGCGCGCAGGATGTACACACTCTGGCCACGTTCAGCGAGCGCTTCAAGGATAATGTGGACGAGGACTTTGTCGGAAAAATCACTTTCCAAGCATCATTTAATTCAACAACTATTGAGATAAAAAACACAACATTTGAAGATGAGGCTTGCTACATTTGTTCCTTTAAGTATCCAACTGGACCCAAACGAGAAACCTTGTGCGTCACTGTTAAAGGTAGGTTAACAAAACTTGTAGCTGTGACATAACCGTGGGTATTACAGTTAACTAAAAGCGAAAAAAAAAAATAATAATACTAAAGCCCATGATTTAAATAAAGTAAACATTAAACGTTTGACTCGTGGTGTAGGTCAAAAGTTATTAATCTTATTACAATGAAAACAGTTACAAAGAGTATAATATTTAGTATTTTTGTATATTTTATGGTAATAAATTATATGTATGCACTATGCAGTGGTTATATTTTCAGAATTCAGATATATGCTTATTTAAAAGGATAGTTCACACAAAAATATATTCTGTCATCATTTAATCACCTTTGACTTGTTCCATACCTGTTTCTTTCTGCTGTTGAAGTTGAACACAAAAGATGTTTTGAAGAAACTTGTAACTATTGACTTCCACAGTATTTGTTTTTCCTACTGTGGAAGTCAGTGGATGCAAGTTTTCAAAATATCTTCTTTTGTGCTCAACATATATCAAACTCAAAAAGATTTGGAACCACTTGAGGGAGACTAAATACATTATAATAGTTGTACTTTTATAGATGTATTTTGTTTATGTTACTGTAAAGGTTAAAAGTCATACATCTAAATGATTTGTGATTGAAATATTGGGCTGATATCTGAAACATTTGCTAAGGTTTGAGGTTAGCACAAAAACTAAATTACGCCACTGAAGGTGTCCACCAGAAGATATTAGTGGATGTCATTTTAATGACACATCACACAAGTGTGTTTTTTTTAAGATGATTTAACCTTGTCAAATCATGTTCAGGATTCATATAGATAATTTTGAGGGATGTAAACAAAAATGGTCCCAATGTATTTCCTGTTATACATTTTTATTTCTATAGCTTCCAAGAATCTCCAAAAAAATCACATATTGATAAATAATGTTATGATAGCTGTTTTAACATTGAGTTATGATTAAATTGCCTCCTGTTACAGTTATGAAATAGTTTGACAACAAGCAGGAAATGTTCATGAGCATAACCACATTGAAATGGTCTATATATATATATATATCTGTGTGTGTGTGTGTGTGTGTGTGTGTGTGTGTGTGTGTGTGTGTGTGTGTGTGTGTGTGTGTGTGTGTGGTTGTATATGACAAGTGCCAGAACAAAATTTTATACATTTTAAAGGTTAACAGAATAACACAGACAGTCAAATAATAGTTTTGAGGTTTTTTTACTATTCATGAAAACTGAAAGTGTTGAGCCAAACTTGTGTTTAGATGTTTTTCCAATAGCATAACTTTTTTTTGCTGCTGGTATTTTCCAGGTATCTCAGAAATAACAGCGGCAGTGAATCCTGCAGACACTTCTGACACAGAAGTTGTGGTTTCATGTTCAGCCACTGGTAAACCAGCTCCAACAATCCAGTGGAAATCCAGAGAACAAGAGCTGAAGCACTTCAGGTCAGATGATTTCACAACCTACAACAAAGACAGCTCAACCACTGTTACAAGCAACATATTACTTCTGCTATCCCAGTTTCATGGCAAGTACGTGGAGTGTTTGGCTCAGAGTGATGAGATTGAGAGGAGCGAAACAATTTATTTACCTCGACAACAACATCCTGATGAAGGTAACAAATTTAACATGGACTTCCGCTAAAATAAAACCCACACCTTTTGTTTAGTTTGAAGGATTCAGATTTCCACCTTCAAATCCATCTCAGCATGAATCATTGTTTATCCTTTTCTCATCATCCTGCTTCTCATTACTTTTATTAAATATAATTATGTGAATATTCGAATTAGTATTTAACTTTGAATTGATTTTAACCAATGAATAAGCTAACACACTGCTTTACGTAAGAATGGTAAGTGTCCTTGCTGCCCTCTTTGTCTGTGTATTTTAATTTTGTTTTTAGGAGACTAGGTCATAGTCATAGAGAGAGACCTCTTTCTCCCTTTGAACGGAATTATTGATGCTGAGGAGGGGGGAAACAACTATTTTTATTTGTCATAATATTGTCTACAGTAATTTAGCTGTTTTGATTGTTAATTCTTTTTTAAGTAATTCCTTTTTATGTTAGATAGACTTTGTGTGTAGTGAGGATATTGTAGCCGAATGTTGATTAAACCAGTTTTTAACCACTTTGATGAGACAGCTCAACATACAAGAAAACAACCTTGAGTTTTTACAACAGATTGTCTCTTGCGTCTAATGCGTCCATGGCTTAGCTTTTTAAAGGTCGGAGATCAGCTCTTAACAGTTTAGGGTTGGCTTGACTCCCAAGAACTATGCCGCCATCCATATCTGGAGCTAGATACAATGCTTCATTCACGCACACGTTTAGAATTGTCTATTTTTGCTGTAACCAATGAGAACTGTTTACCTGGATCCCACCTTTTTTGGACTTGTGTAAATAGTATAATTTAGATTAAGTCAGATCTGCCTGCAAGCTCAGCTTGATTGTGAAGCCCTTCTGCCATAGAACTGCAAACTATCTAATTTTCATTCTTAATTGCATCTTCGTCTCTGAGTCTTCTCTTCATCTGACACACCAGACTTTTTCTTAAACTGTTTATCTTAAACCCCAACAAGTTATACTCTATTGTTAGTATTGGGATGTTACAATTTTAAGCACAGGTGACGCATTGGCGCAGTAGGTAGTGCTGTCGCCTCACAGCAAGAAGGTCGCTGGTTCGAGCCTCGGCTGGGTCAGTTAGCGTTTCTGTGTGGAGTTTGCATGTTCTGCCTGTGTTTGATTGGATCTCCTCCTGTTGCTCCGGTTTCCCCCACAATCCAAAGACACGTGGTACAGGTAAAATTGGGTAGGCTAAATTGTCTCTAGTGAATGAGTGTGTATGGATGTTTCCCAGAGATGGGTTGCAACTGGAAGGGCATCTGCTGCGTGAAACATGTGCTCAATAAGTTGGCACATCATTTCGCTATGGCGACCCCAGGTTAATAAAAGGACTAAGCCAAAAAAAGAAAATCAATGAATGAATTTTAAGCACTCTCATTAGGTTGCCATTTGAATGTTTTTACCTATAGTATTTATTTATTCATTCATTTTCTTTTCAGCATAGTCTCTTTATTAATCAAGGGTTGCCACAGCGGAATGAACCGCCAACTTATCCAGCATATGTTTTACGCAGCAGATGCCCTTCCAGCGGCAACCCATCACTGGGAAAACTGCAGTATTCATCAGTGTTTAATGAAAAATATTGCTTTTTTTTGTCTTTCAGATGCATCAAGAAATTACATCATCACATTTTCGGTCCTTGCTGTCATTGCTGTTGTGGTTATTCTCATTACTGTCGTCTTTATTTACTGCAAACGAAAAAGTGAGCAGCAATATTTTATCTCTCTTGCATTAAATGATATTATAACATAGCAAGCTGTCATCTCTTTAGAGTAGCATGTCAATTATAAACTATTGTAATTTAAATTAAAAAGAGTGTTTCATTTTTAAGGAGACCGGTTTTGGCTAAATTCTTCTGCTGAAAAACTTCATGACTCAAATGAGGAATGTTAAAGGAGGAGAGCTACCTCAAAAGCGTATCGTTTGTTTTGTCACTGAGATTTTTTTTGTGTGTGTTTCTTAAAGAATTCCTTTATTTCCAATTTTTACTTATTTATTAAATGAATTGAATTTATTTTTACATTACTATGTAATGCTACAATATACAGATTTGGTATATTTTGATAGAAGCTGGTTGAATGTAATGGAATTTCACAACATTTTTTTATTACATCCTCTAAAGTTGAAACAGTAATTTATAAATGCAAGTTCTGTGTTGTTCTTTCTTTAATGTTTTCTCGTGATGTCATGAAGGAATTTTTTGATGATTTTAATGTCATCCTATGTATTAATAGACTAATCCTTTCATTAATAGTTTAATTCTGTTTTTAACTTATTACATGAATGCATGCTGATGTGTTTATCTGCATATAACCGTATATGCTTAACCTCATCTAACCTTGCTCCATAACAGCTGTGTCTTTATGTGACTGATAACCGAGAAGTTAACTCCTCTGTACTTGTTATCAACAAAATGTTACAACTATACTTTCAGAGTGTGCTCATTTACAGGAACAATATCGGACGGGAAGGGCGAAGGGTCTCTGCAGGCTCTGTTATGTGTATGCTTAACTTTTTCTATGCAGATTTGCTGTTCTGCCTAACAACTGATGATTGAACTGATCTGGATGGAGGATATTTTTTACTGAAGTGTGACGAAGGGAGACGACGATAAATATGGGTGGAACGAGGGTGTGGTTGTGTGTGCCCAGCTAACACAGACTGCCTGTGTTGCTGTTCTTTGAGACCTGGAGCTCTGTAATGCTTTCTTTATCTAATTAAATAAATTGTTTAAACTTATTTAAAGCCTCTGACTGATGTTTTAACCTGGTAGGACAAGGAGAAGTCCAATAGTCATTCCTCAGTATTGCTTTAAACAATGACAGTCATTTGAGGAAGAAGAAAAAAAACATTGTTTACTAATTTAACCAAAGAATTAAAAGTAACATGTTGGATCTGCTTATTTTCTCATACTTTTTAAACCATATATTTTTTCAAACTTGCATTAAAGGGACAGTTAACCCCAAAATCTACATTTGCTATTTATTTAGTTACCTTTGGGTCATCCAAGATAGGTGACTTTTTTCCGGAAAACATTAAAGGGCACCTAAAATGAAAATCATCTTTTGTAAGCTGTTTAGACAGAACTGTGTGTAGGTATAGTGTGTTCACATAAGGGTGAATTAAAGACTAAAAGTCTCTTTTTTTTATTTCCTGATATTAAACTAGGATCCAAATCCCTTCTATTTTGAGGCCCACCGCAATGTGACATAAGAGTGCTGTTTCCCCGCCCACTGAATTGATTGACAGCCGCATATTAACATGTCTCTGTAGCAAAGAGTATAATAATATCAACAAGACTGGACGTGTTCAAGCAAAGCTACAGGGATTAAAAGATCTGTTCAGCGCTCTGTGATCATCAACCATCATCAAATGTGATCAAGAATGACTTTTACAAGTTTAAAAAAAACAGTGCATGTTTATAATAAATTACAGTGATTTTACCGTCTTTATCACCACAGCCACATATCAGTACAATTAATAAAGAAGACACTTTAATCCGGATTTGTGAACGTTAAATCAGGTTATTTTGTACATGAACACAACAGATATCTATACAGCAGTGGGTATTAACATGTATCCTGTCACATTTGCTGTGCAAAAAAACAGTGCAAAGTTAAATGCGCGAGCTGTGTGTGTGAACTTTGTAACGACATTGTGTGTGACTCATCACTGCAGAAAGGCTTGAATTAACGTTACCACAAATACATCAAATAATCATTGGGACAGTTCTTACTGTAGTATTTCTCACAAATGTTACGTGAGATCTGCTTCCTTCATGTCTGTCACTGTGCTGTTTACCTGCCACAGCCAAGGCAGAGATTGAGGCACACTCTGACAGGCACATGGGAACAGTGGGTGGGGAGAACTAGCATTGAAGGCACAGGCAACAAAAACAGCTAAAATATTCCCAAAGCTGAAAATTCTAAACTTCAGAAAGGTATAATTAATGATCTGTCTTGTGTTTTGAGCTGAAACTTTACCGACACATTCTGAAGACAAGACTTATCTTAAATCTTAAAAAAGGGGTAACATAGGTGCCCTTTAAAGAAGATTTGTGCGTTTTTATGATTTAATTTTAATTCATAAATGGACTATTTTATCATCACAAAGAATGCCAGTTTCTACTAAACATCTATAATGCTTTAAAACAATCTACAAATTGGAAAACCTGAGTTTTTTTAAATAGATTTTATTTTGAACTGCTATGTACTTCCACTAAATGCATGATAGTGTATACATTTAGTATATAGTATAGTGTATATAGCATAGTGTATATATTTTATTTTTGGCAGTATTGACTCACTGGCAATAATCACTTGGATAGGAATCCTGTGTAAAACCTCATTTGTGTGTTTATGCAACAGGACACAGTTTACGGTATCAAGCCACCACCAGCAGTTAATCTGGAGTTTTTGTTCCCCCAAATGACCAACATGAAACTTTCAAGTATAGTGCTGTACCGCATTTGCTTTTAGCAGGCGTGTGATATGCAAGTGTCAGTCTAACCGATACATCATACTGCATCTGCAGTGCTGAAAGGAAGTCTTGATGTGGGGGAGCTTCAGAAACAATGCAGGCAGCCATTTTCACACTAGCCATTTCCTCAGACTGACTGAAACATGCAGATCTCTTACCCGACCTCAGCGTTCCTCATTGCTTTTCTCTGCAGTCTGCTGTCCTCCCTTTCAGGCCGTAAGTCTTGTTTTATAACTTAAAAATGAACCATTGTAAATTTTATACTATAGTCTGGTAAAAATAAAAAAGATTTGCACTTGGTCATTCCAGTTTATTTTTGTCTAAGGTCAATACTATTCAAAAGTGTTTTCTGTAAATTAAACTGTAAATGTACTGTAAATAAACAGCTAGTTGGATTATTAATGGAATCTGTAATTGATAATTTATTAGGATGAATAAATGTAAAAAATTACCTATATACAATGTTTCAACAGCACCACATGACAACTGGTGCATGTGTGCATCCATCTGAGCAAATAGTTGATTTCAGATTCGTCATTTATTTAGAGATGCACCAGTTTGACAGTTCGGTTCAGTGTTCATGAACCCATTGTGAGCAGTTTTTCCTCTGACACTTCTTCTGGAATCTACCACCGACTCTGATGCATGTATCTATTGTGGTTAATCCTGATATGTAACTTGTTTGGGAATATATAATGGTGAATCTATAGTCTGATTAAGCTATTACTAGTTTCAGAACTGACTAAAACATTCGGAAATGTTATTGTTTATCAGCCCTTCATCAGTGGACCATCAGACAAGTGCAACACATCACCAGTGCAACATCAATAGTCAAACCAAAACATTTTGCGATATCAGATACAATTTTTGATTTTCCTTTTTACTTGTGAGTGCAGTGCAGGACTCTATAGTTCATTTATGTATGAGGATAGTAAAACTAAGTCAACTGTAACATATAATACACCAAAATACTTCATACAGTGGACTAAAAACAAACAGGAACTGAAGATGCTGTTGCTGTTGAGTAGGTCTGTGAAAATATTATAGTTCAGGTTTGCTTGAATGTTGAGACTGCTGGCTGACATTGAAGATAAGGAAAAAAAAGCAGCATTGATAGTTGTATAAATATTGTCATACTAATATTTGTTTGAATTATTGTTGATTGATTGTTATTCATCACATACTGTACCTTTCTATCAAAGTTAAATCTGACATTATTCAGATGAATCTCTTCGCATACAGTTTGACTGTAAAGAGCTGAGTTCTTGTCATATTATCACCATTTTATAAAGATATATTAAATAGACTGATCATTTTTAAAAGGTTGAAAGAACGCGTCTCAGAAATGTTTGGTTTGACTCTAGAATTCAGCATACCACCTGGGGCCGGTTGTAACTTAGTTGTGACTTAAAGGGGAACTAAGTAACACATTACTAAATATTTTTGGGTTACACCACTGATTTTAGTTTATAAGTAACGCTACGCTCCAACTTAATATTTACGCCAGCATACCCCCTCATGTATAACAGTAGAAAAAAGATGACTGCAAGATAAGTTTACATTTAGGACCTCGTGATCATTTAGACTCATTTTCTTCCCAAATCTCCCTCCAAAAAAGTCAAATTTGTTATCAAAGAGTGTTTCGTGTTGATTGAATTCATCAATTAAAACGATATTTTTTTCATGACTGATATGTAGGATATTGTAAAAAATAATTTATGCTTTGAAAACTTTATGTGTATTCACGGCTTGCGATACAGGTTTGTGCGTCGTCTGTTAGTGACTGACTGTAGCGTAATGTACTATAAAAATGAAATTATATATATATATAATATATAATATAATATACCTATTATTATATATAGATACATTAGTTACAAAATTTTAAAGCACTTTAACAATGCTTTTTATTGGATATTACGCCATTCAGTGTGACTACACATGACTTTAAGGCGAGCTTACGACCTACTATCTACGGTTTGCCTTTAGAAGATGTGGTGCAACGAAAGTGAGAACAAATTTAGTTACAAACTAGCTAGAAATTACTAAGCCCCTTGTGAGGACTTTTTGTTCCAGTTTAAGAAAGATCTCAGGAACACCTGGTGCAACCCTACCTTGCTCTTTGTGAGTTTCTTCTGTTAAACATAAAGAAGATATTTTGAAGAATGTTAGAAACCTTTAACTACTGTTCCCCACTGATTTTGAGAATGTTTCCAGTTATGGTTGAGTTTATGGATAGGAAATAGGTATGGATTACATTTTCGAACAAAAATGATGTTCCAGGATGAACATAGATGTTAATCCAGGATCGCATCATATTTGGCAAAATCATAACGTGTTAGATTTTTCCAACTTTTAACAAAGTAACTAACTGTGTGTTCATTGGAAAGAAAATATTCAAAGAAAGTTGTGATTGGAATTGGAAAGGGAATTAATGACAGCGAAATTGTCAGTTTTGGGTGTCTATCTTTTTAAGTATTTTTGATGGACTAACATAAACTATTTCTTATGTGCAGTGATTGTGAGATATCCACGTGAACCGGTGGAGGAGATGGAAGGCCGTGTGCTGTCTTTCAAGTGCAGATTGGAGTACAAGACAGAGAATTGTGATATTTCTGCCAAATGGTGGCGTGTAGAAAGCGAGACAATTTCTGAGCCCATTACAGACACAAACAGATTTCTAATCACAGTTAATGAAACAAAAAAAGATGAACAAAGGCACAGGGACATTGTCTTGACATTCAAGTCCTTGAGTATTGCAGATCGGGGCTATTACCAGTGTAATGCCAAATGTCTCAACAGTGGAACTGTCGGAAAAGGCCATGTCCTGACCCTTAATGTTAAAGGTTTGAAATTAAAATAGTATTATTATTATTAAAAATATTTAATACTTTGAGTCTTAATGTGACTCTCTTGTGTGTGTCTTGTGTGTTTCTACAGCAGATCCACACAAAGGTCTGAAGGCCTCAGCATGGAGTGGAAAGTTAAAGACTGACGTGACTGTGCTTGTGCTCAGCATTGTGTTATTTGTATGGTATAATTAAATGACATTGTGTTTTTAAGGATTGATCAATAGCTATGAGATATACTGTATTGTGGCCAATATATATATCTTCATCTTTTATTCTGACATACTACATTGTGAATTAAGGATGTCAATTTCTAAAAATTCCCAAGGTTAATCTTTATTTAAATGAACAGTTAATTGATAAATTGCCAACCTAAACAATGCAAAATGTTAATGGGCTAGGATGTAAGCCCATTAATGGGGTTGCATTTTAAATTTAAGCTAATCTTTTTAAAGTTTACAAAAAGAAAAGTGAATCCCAAGTGAAAATTAGGTACGTTTCCATCAAGTTGTTAGTGTGGCTTATTGTAGTATTGGTAACCTAGCAACCAACAGTAAACAAAACAAGTGTAACCCCGCTGGTCCTACACCACCCAACCCATTCCGAGCTGGGATTGAACAGGAAACTCAGCACTTCACTAGCTGGCCTCTGTTACTCGCACCCTCCTCTCCGGGTCACGGCACCAATGTAACCCTGCCAGTTCTACACCATCCAACCTACTCCAAGCTAGGATTAAACCGGTGACTCTCCATATGGGAGTCTGTTGCTCTAACAAGGAGGCTAAAATCCATGGCCTCTAGCATCTGTTGCTTGAGCACCTTTAGGGGTCAGAGGAGTGAGGTTTACCTGCACAGCACTTCACTAGCTGGCCTCTGCTACACAGGCATAATGGAGACAGCTGATTAGTCACGTGGGTGTAATGTTTGCTACATCATAGTTTATCTCTCATTTCTTACATTAATCCCCTTTCAGTTCAAAACCATTTCAAGCAAGTGTAAAAACATATTTTGCTAACTGAGGGATTTGTATTTGACTTTGTCATTTCCATCATTCATAACTCATGCAATACTTGGAAATACAGGGAAATGCTGGAAACACTGTTGATGAAAACCCTGGCAGGACAGGATGCATAAAGAACACATAAAATGCAAACATTCTCACCCAGCTCTAAATTAAATTGTAACTGTCAATTAAAATGTAAATTTACGGTAAATATAACGTTAGTCGGATTGTAAAAACTCAGTCAGTCATTGCTAATATATTAGAATGATCTAATTAGCAAATCGAATGGCTAACATACATTATGTGTCAATAGCGCTGTCATAGATGTAAACACATGGCAACTGGTGCATGTTTACATCCATCTGAGCAAATAGTTGTGGTTATATGCACAATATATATATGAACAAATATACGGTTTATTTATAAAGATAGTGCCTATTTATCAGTTAGTTGGAGAAGTGAACACCAGGATGCCAGTTTAGTGCTTGTGAATAACTCAAGAGCAGCCTCTCCTCTGACACTTCTTCTGGAAACCACAGCTGGCACTGATGCAGGTTTTTTATGGTTAATCATGATATTTAACTTGTTTTCAGTATATATACCTGTCAATGTTTAGTCTCAATTTCCTATTTCTTTCAGAGCAAACAAGAAAAAAACTGAAGTCTAAAATATTCATATCATTTGATATCATTTGTAATGCTTTTGTACGTTTTTTTAATCTTTTATAATAGTTGTTGCTGCTGTAAATAAATACTGTAAATAGTATTGTTCAGTACATAAATGTATATAATATGCATAATAATAATGTTTAATAAATTTATTTTGTAATGTAAACACTTTTGTGTAAGCGTGCATGTTATTAAATTCCAAGATAGCACTAAGCATCAATCTTTATAAATCAATAGTAAGTTTTTTTTATATATATATATTGAAAGGTAACAAAACACATTTTAGGTTTTAAATGTATTGAACATTCAATTCAAATTGTGTGTGCGTGTGCGTGTGTGTGTAAAATTATGTATACTAAGAAATTCAAGTGGTTAAATGGATGATGCATGCTTGGTGATGGAACATCTCAGCGCTGCGGTGCAGGCTTGTGGCTGAAATTGAAACCTAATTTGCAAAAAGGAAGAACAGCCTCCGCATTTGTGTATGCTATGACAAGAATGTGGCAAATGAGACTTTCCGGCTATAAACAAGAACTGCAATGCTTTCTGACAGTGGCCTTGTCACACAGAAACTACCAAAAGCAGGCTACATGCTAATTTGCAGGCCAAATACAAAACTGCACTGGTGATCTACTTGTAATTGCGCGATTAAGGCAGTACACTAACTAGTATTACATTAGAATGATCCTAACAAACACATTGCAGTTCACTATTACAGCAAACATTAGAATAAACAAGGATAATAACCTGAAATACCATCTGGTATACTTGCATTCATTTATTTTCTTTCCAGCTTAGTCCCTTTATTAATCTGGGGTCACCCCAGCAGAATGAACCGCCAACTTATCCAGCATATGTTTTACACAGCGGATGCCCTTCCAGCTGCAGTCCATCACTGAGAAACATCCATACACACACTCATTCACACAAATACACTGTGAACAATTTAGCCAACCCAATTCACCATACCACATGTCTTTGGACTTGCAGACATGCAAACTCCACACAGAAATGCCAACTGAACCAGCCAAGGCTCAAACCAGTGACCTTCTTGCTGTGAGGCGATTTTGCTACTCACTGCGCCACACATACTTTCATTTAGAAAAAATACTTTACTTAATATACCATCTTGCATCTATCTGCAGTTTTATACATCTAATCATTATTTATTTGACTTGGATATATTTCTTAAACCATGTCTTCCGCCATGAAACAAATCTAAAAAAGATGTTCAGATTTAGATGAAATCCTAGTGCTTTGGATTGATATTTAGATGAGAAATACTGCCATCTCCTGGACATCGAACGTCTTGTAGAAATTACCTTAGAAAATATACTGGAAGTGATCATTTTCCTCGAATGTTTGTGTGTAATTCCACTCATCGTTTCAGTATTTAAAGACGTTACTTTTGCTGGTAGTAAAAAGGTCTGTGCGAGCTCTACATTTGTACAAAGAAGGGCAAGTTGAAGAACTTAACATCAATATTTTATAACACTCCCGAGGACAAAGGTGCGACCTATTGAGTGGACATGGGAAAGAAAGATTCATAGTCATTATGAAGGAGAAAAGTGACAGATGATGACCTTCTATCACTGGAGACTTGGAGGGATTTAAGTGCCCGAAGGAGGCCCATCTGCATATTTAACCTTCAGTCGGCTTGTAGGCTACGGTCTGTTGACTTCCTCTTTCCTTTACTGTCAGCCTCTCTAAAGTTCAGGGTGAATTCATCCAGGAGTTTTGTCTGGTAATTCTGAAGTTTCGTTGTCAGATAGATTTCTATCTTGAGAAGTCACTGAAAATTCCCTGCGTCATTGTAATACACATGATCTTTTAAATGAGTTTTGTATGTGTTAATTGTATTAGCTACGCCATTTTGTTTAACTTACCCATTAAAACCATTAAAATAGTAGGCAAAGCTAGCTTTTGAATTTGTTTATAGTGTGATGGGCGGGACGATTGTAGAGCATTTTGATTGGACATAAAATCTAATGAGATCAAGTAGCCTACAGGTTGATAATCAAAATCGTTGATTATAGCCAACTTATTTGCAACATGTCGTCAGTCGGCCATATTTTACGATGCAGAGAATGTGAACATTGCCACTGCTAAATGAAACATTCTTAGAATTGCTTCTGGAAGTTAAGATAAAAGATAAACTGCTTCCTTTAGAGTTGGCCTACCATAGATGTCCAAAAGTTATGAAAATCAAGAAGCAGAAATAAACAAACCAAAGAACAAAAGGCTGGCCAAATTGCAGGATTTTCCAGGGCAAGAATTTTGACAAAATTAATGTTTGTTCTTATCATTTCCAGTCAAGAAGGTGAATTATTAGCAATGCATGCAGTTGTTTACACCTGAGTTTCACTGGTTTGGCCACACAAACAGGAAACTGACCAAACCTTGATAAAAGTGGAAACCCTCTGTTGGCGGACATGACAGATTGTAAGTTTTGAATGTTTATTCATCTTTATTGTTAACTTAAGATATTACAGTTTCAAACAAATTAGCTAATAGGCCTAGCTAACAAAATGGGCTTTAAGCACAGCTAGTGTTTTTCAGCCAATGATAAACTTCTGGTGAATGCTAATAAATTTAATTTCATAAGGTTCCTTTTACAGTATTATGTTGTAATGTTACATTGCATTCAGTTAAATAGACTTTACCTTTATGTGCAGAGTTTGCACGTTCTCCTTGTGCTCACGTGGATTTTTTTCCCGGGTTCCCCAGTTTCCTCCCACCGTCCAAAAACATGCAACTTGAGTTAATTGACTAATCCAAATCAGCACCACAGACATGCTCCTAGTAACTAGTTTTCTCTAAAGAGCAATCACTATCTGTTCATTAGCTACTACAGCAGGGAAGTTCTCGAGATCTACCTAAGCTCAAACTCCCTACTCGCCCTGCAAACAGGAGGGAGCCCTGGGCTTGAGGATCTTATGAGCTCAGGGCTTTCTCCCAGGACAGCACGCCAAACAAGCTTTATAATCAATCATTAGCTAAGTGTGAACTCTTGAAAGAAATGGCGGGGGAAAATGGAACTTAATATGGTGCTTCTTGTCTGGTCTGAGACCCACTTTGTATATATCTCTCAGGCAGTGAAGATAGCTGATTTTTAAAGAAATCAGATCTTAAATGTGGCAATTTTATAATGGAAAGACAGTTCACCGGAAGCCCTGGGGCTGGCTGTCTAAAATTAAAAGTTTGTGTGCATATACCCCATTGCCATGAGATCACTAGAGAAACCTAACTAGAGTCACTTTTTTGTGACAGCCAATCATATTCAAATCTGCTTTTAAGGGCTCTATTAATGTGACAGAACAGAATTATATTTTCTGCTGATGTGGACATTTAATGTTACAGTAATTTTTAAAGTTTGACAGAGGCTTGGTGCAATTTTTTTTTTTACTAGAAACTGCTAGAACAGTTCAAGATGAAATGACAAAGTAGAATTCAACACATTTTGTTGAACATGCAGTTTTGAAGTAGTAAAACAGAAATACTCTTTATTGTAAAACTTACTTCACCCTAATGTAATGTCCTCCTCTTACTCTGTTTTGTTTTGTTTGGAAAGTTATTTTTACAAAGAACTTCCCCCAGAGGCTAAACAAGATTCCTTTTTGGTTTACCGTCAGCACATGCCAAGTTATATTGGTAAAAAAAGTACAGCATAGCCTAGTGTTTGTGTAAACTATTACCAAGCCAACAGGGCAAACACCTAAATATCAAAGTAGCATCTTGACGCATTTTAAAATCACATGGTTGT